ATAACATACCGTGAATATGATCATCCTTTACTCTCTTTGTTGATTAGGTTGGTGGCGTTCATTTTAGCCTTCTCTCTAAAGTCCGTTATGATATTGGAGATTCGTGTTCGCTCGATTATCTTATCGACAGCATTTTCCCATTGTTTAGAAAACATATTGAGCCAGATCTTCATCATGCGCAGGTTGGTTCTTCTTCTTTTTATCCCCTTTAAGAGTTCAGAAGTTTGACTTATCCGTTTGTTGGGAGTTTGCAGATCAGAATCAACAACAGTTTTGTTTCATCTTTTCGGGAAGCCATATACAAATTGAAATGCAAAAGTGAGGTCTGTAGTTTCTTTCGAGTGCTAAAATCTCCAGCTGTGACCTCGATTTCTATAATAATGTCTACCGCTTGACTAAAATTCATGTAACAGATAGTAACTTCTTTTGCTCAAGAAAGTGAAGTCCAGAAGGATAAGTAAGAATGATTCTTCTAGCATGTGGGAATGGTTTAAGCTTTTTACTGGATTTTATATGCATGCTGACATGGTTTCTCTGGTGCTACTTTCAGTTTTATTGAGATGTACCTCAGACCTCCTTCTGCAAGTGAAGAGGCGCGTATAAATGACTGGATAAAAGTTCGTCAAGCTGGTATAAGGTATTATCTGTCGCTTGGAGACCAAAGAATTGTCGACAAGCATTTCATTATCCGGCCAAAAGCTGAGTTTGAGGTGAGTTAATACATGCAACTAGGTTTCAACATTTGGTGTTTCCTTCTTTCTATTTCTTTAAATCGGAAAAGATAACAGTAGGAATTGGGTGATATAGAATTATCATGTTTATGGTTTCTGGTCCAGTATTTTCCCTAATTTTGTTAATTTCCGATCATCTCTGCTGAAGAGCATAGCTATATTTAAGGATATCTGGTCCTAATGGCATCCAGCTTGAACACATCCTTTTCAAAGATACTCCCCACAACTCTTCTCTATGTGACTTGGTTGCTATTGTCTAGCAGGTTGGACGGATGACACTTGGAGGGTTGTTAGCTTTAGGCTACAATGTTGTAGTGAGTTATAAGCGAGCTTCAACTGCAGTTAGTTATGGTAATTTATCCCTGTCACGAGAAACGATTGATACTCTTGGAGAGACTTTCCTGGTACTGAGAGGAACAGATAGGAAGGTAATAGCCCACAATTCTCTCTTAAAACAAGCACATCAATCTTCAATCCAGAAAACTCCGTCTAAAACCTTTTCTGTTACTGATTTTCTTCTCTGTCAGTAGCATTTGAATCTAGGTTATTTCATCAGTCTCCATTTTGCTATACATGTTTAATACATCTTTTTCCATGTAGAGTGTGGGAGCTGAAGCTCTAAGAATGGGTATTAGTGGGCCCTGGATCACCAAATCATACTTGGAACTGATCCTTGAAAGAAAAGGTCAGTGAATTTGGAACATGTTGTTTCTACTATGTATCATTTCCTATGCTTTCCAGTGGAACAGAATCTTAATTGCTGCGGTATAACCCTTGTTGCAGGTGTACCACGCTTGAATACACCTCCACTTTTGCAACAGTCTCCTGTAATCACTAACCAGGAGAAGCAAATTGTTGCACCAAAACCTATCCGAACTACCCCAAACATTGTTACCCGCCTCGAAGATTTATCGCAGCCGTGGACTCGATCTCCTACCAAATCTCAAATGGAACCAATGGTTGCAACTTGGCATTTCACCTCTTTTGATGCACCTCCTTCAGTAAGCTCTGTTGTAGGTATGTCCGTCTTTCTTTAAGATTGATGGTTTTTCCCTTTGATATGCTCCCTCTCTTAGTGTTATGTCTATCAAATGTATTTCAGTAGTATTATCGTCGCATTTATGCTTAGGCTTTCTCATCCAGCAGCCACAGATTCCTCTTTCAGGGATAATATACGACTGGTTCCTATGCCTGATTCATACGACTTGGACAGAGGGTTGCTTCTTTCCGTTCAAGCAATACAGGTAAGAAGATAGGAGGAATCTCCTTCTGTTAAGTAGAATAGCTGCTTAGTCTTGCAGATATTATCTCCACTGCAAAGACTTTGCTCTTTCTAGTAAGGCTTCTTTTGGTTGTGATTACTGTTTCAGGCCTTGTTGGAGAATAAGGGACCACCTGTTATTGTGGGAATAGGTAATATTGCTTCTTCGCTGCTTGTATTGTTTTGCTTTGGAGACTGAGCCTAGAAATTATTTTCTTACACTTTATATCGTCACAATGATTTCACTGAAGGTGGTCCTAGTGGGTCTGGTAAGACTAGCTTGGCTCATAAAATGGCAAATATCGTTGGCTGTGAAGTGGTTTCCCTTGAAAGTTACTTTAAATCTGAACAAGTCAAAGATTTCAAGCATGATGACTTTAGTTCCCTTGATCTGACTTTGCTCTCAAAGGTAATGCTTTTGTTTGGGAATGTAAAAGGATAAGGTAATTTGTCAGCCCACTTGGGTTAGTTTTATTGAAATTGAAAATCTTTCTCTATTTCATTTGCAGAACATTGCTGACATAACAAATAGTCGAAGAACAAAACTGCCTGTATTTGACCTGGAGACTGGTACCAGATGTGGCTTCAAGGAACTTGAAGTTTCTGAAGAGTGTGGTGTGGTCAGTGATCATAGTCTTCTCATATGATATTATCTGTTTCAAATGGTTGTTGCCTTTGTTATCTTTTGAAGCGTACTTATTTGATTATTTTTTTAACATCACACTGCTGTTTAGATCATCTTCGAGGGAGTATACGCATTGCATCCAGAAATCAGACAATCTTTGGACCTTTGGGTTGCTGTTGTAAGATGCTTTTCTGCTTCATTATTTCTTTTCTTCATTTCATCTTGTTTTCTTATCAAGAACAGACTGAATTTCTTCCGCTTCATAAAACAGGTGGGAGGTGTTCATTCACATCTTATATCTAGAGTCCAGAGGGATAAAAGCCGAGTCGGGTGTTTCATGTCTCAAAATGAGATAATGATGACCGTATTTCCAATGTTCCAGCAACATATTGAGCCACATCTAGTGCATGCACATGTGAGTACACTTGAGACTCTAGATTTCACCTACTTATATTGACTTCTATTGTCTTTTCGTACTCGTTTTGTTGCTGTGATTGCAATTTCCTTATTGAAAAAAAAAACAGTCTCAATAATTGTATAAAAGTGTACTCAACCAACACGATTTTGGGCATATGTATGATCTCCGTACTTATGTTTCCCAATAATACAGGTCAAGATTCGAAATGATTTTGATCCTGTTCTCTCTCCCGAGAGCTCTTTGTTTGTTTTGAAGAGCAACAAACAGGTAAGGATAAAATATCACAAATTCTGAGGTTCCATAGATCTAGGTTCCCTTGTTTACAGAAACACTCACTCACGACTCGTCATGTCGTTGATAAGGTTCCGTATCAGGATATTCTCAGCATCCTTGAATCGACGAAATTCTGCAGCTCCGTTCAGAATTTTATCGATATATATTTCAGGCTATCTGGGCTTCCTGCAAATGGGCAGTTGTCAGATAGTGACTGCATACGCGTTAGAATCTGTGAGGGCAGGTTTGCGGTGCTTATACGTGAGGTACGATATTTAATCTGTAGTTTCTGAATGTGTTGTTAATCAGTGAATTTATCAGTTATGTCTCATGAATCTTTATTACTGTGTCACAGCCAATTAGGGAAGGAAACTTCATCATTCAGCCCAAAGTAGATTTCGACATTAGCGTAAGTACTGTGGCTGGTCTTCTTAATCTCGGGTGAGCAAGAAATCAAATAAAGTGTTTAATTTCAGTTTTTCATCCTCAATATGATAGCTATTGGAGACAGTTATCATATATGCTCTATTCTTGGTTTCAGGTATCAAGCAGTGGCGTATATCGAAGCCTCTGCCTTTATTTACCAAGACGGAAAGGCGAGTATCTTGTTTGAAACTGTGGAAACAACAATCAAAACTCGACATATAATCTTTTTTCCGTGACAATTCTTATGGTGAATATGGTTCAAATAAGTCTCCCTCTTAATTTTTGCTTTTGAAGATTCTGATTGAGGTTGATCATCTCCAAGATGTGCCAAGTCCATACATACAGATCAAAGGCGCAAACAAAGAAGCTGTGACTGCTGCTGGTTCAGCACTCAAACTGGATGGTTCATACACAACAAAGGTTTCTTTCTTTATCTTCATTTACATTTTATACATAACGAAGTTCTTATTCCCTCTTTTTTTCTTGTATGAAGAGTTACCTTCAAATAGTGTTGGAAAGACTACCACCAGTCCAGAGAAGTTCAAGTGGAATCCATACACAACAAGCAGCGCGGTTGCAAGAACTTGTGGAATTCATACAATCTCAGGTAATCAATAAAAGTCTCCTTCATCCTCTTTTGTCATTCTAGTTTCGTTGTCTTTAAAATGGTTCTCATTGCCTTGTGACGATCTTACAACAAAAAGGGAAGTAGCAACAGCGTGTCGGAAGCATCACCAAGAAGAAATGGTTCTTCCATAGACAACGTTTTGGATGATATGCAATCACGGATTAAACGACTCGAACGTTGGCACACAATCAATACGGTATTGTATCTGATTCATCGTGTTTAAATGACTACTTGCATCCTTCTTTTTTAATGATTAAAAGTAACAACATGGGTGGATTCCGCAGGTACTATGGACATTCTTGATGTCTGCGCTCGTTGGTTATTCTCTCTACCAAAGGAAGCGCCAATAGCTACAGTTTTTTTTTTTCTCTGGTAATAATCCTTTTGTTGTTTATTTGCTTTTACCAAAGCACCTAATTACAGAAAAAAGGGTTTTATGCTAACCTCTGGGGATTATCAATATATATACACACAAAGGCTAGTTTTATTTTTTGCTTACCCAGTCTCCAAACATTGTAACTATCTTTGTTATATTAAAGCAACAAAGCAAAGAAGAAAGCTGAAGTTTCTCTTGAAAGCTGAAAACTAATGAACTATACTTTTAAATTTACTCCACGCTTATTTTATGTTTATGAGGAACATAAAAGAGTCTTATTGATCCATAATATAGTAGTTTACAATGTTAGTTTACATTTTTATATATAAAAGCATTCAAGTTTCAGGTAAAGGTGTAGAATCTCTTCGAATTTCTCAACACAAAAGCTATGGCTACAAAATCAAAAACAAAAAAACTCAACGAGGGTATGATGTGCTGGTTTCAAGGCATTCTGCTGTATTGTCTTGTGGATCACTTTAGGGGCTCTTTTTACGTATGATCCCCTTTGCCTCCATGAAATAATACGAAACCACGTAAAGCAACACGAACAGCAATACCACCATCCACGACCTTATTCCACCTGCAATTTCATCGACAAAACACATTTTAAGGTTTTGATTGGTAATCCATGACAAAATCAAACAATATATAGAAAAATTGAAACCAAAAAAAAAAAGCCTTTTGGGTCAGGTAATAAGATGGAGGGAAAACAAGAGAAATCGTAGATATACTTACGTTTTTCATGCGTTTGTTCAATGACGGTTAGTTTTGCCCTAGAGTCAAAAGAGACTGACACTAAGCACCTGCAAAACCAAACCCAAATCCAAAATTTTGTTTGTTTATAATTTTAAACATAATCATTGACTCGGTAGTTATACAGTGAAAGATGGATCCTCAATGAGGAGAGAAAAAAAACCTTGAATCAGGGGAGAAAGTCAGTGCGGTGACCAAACCAAGATGAGCTTTCTTGGCGACTTGGTTAGTCTCCATTCTTGTTGAATCAATTATTAGAACATCCCCTTCCAGGGTTCCGCTGCATTAAGGAAAAAGTACGACAACCAAAATTAGAATTAGTATTACTTTTATCTGTTTGGTCCCAAAAGTATGCCCCAAAAATAACTTACACTGCAAGAAGCTTCCCATCAGCTGAGACACTAAAGGCCGATATAGAGTTGTTTTTTATAAGCTTTGAACGTCTTCTTTTCCATGATGTTGTATCCCATGTTATAATACTCCCACCACGTTCTACGCAAAACAAATAGATTCTGCTATTTATCCGTGACAAAAAAGAGATCTAACTTTATATGTTCTTGCACTGTCAGAATGTGTGCTTACCAGTGTTTGCAGCAATGTAAAGAACTTCATTGCCTGCATTGTCTACGGAGAATTTGCAGGAGGCAAATATCTCATCCTGCATTATTATATTCAAACTCATCAGCAAATAAAGTTATAAGCTTGAATACAAAGTTCAAAGAAAGCTTTTGACTCAAGAGCAAAACCTCACTGACCTTCTCTTTTGATAGACTGGCAATGGCAGCAGAAGCTTTTACGTCCCAAACCCGACAAAGCGGAGCTCCAAGAGATACAAGAAACTTACCACTTTCGCTGCAAAACAAAAATCAGGCAAGTTGTTTACAATAATTGTTCGAAGATGATTTCTTGTACACGACTTTCTGAAGACGGCAAATTTTTCCGTATTTGATAGGAGAAAGCCCACCTGAAAGTTAGGTTTTTAACAGATGCATGTGCCTTAGACTCATTGAGTAACGTTTTCATACTAGGCCATTCAAAAATCCTCAAAGTTCCATCCTGTACTGCATCAAAACAAAAATGCATAAGAACCACTAAAGTTTCTTAATTTCTTTCTCTGTTTACTTAAAAAAAAGGACTGAATCTAAGAGCTTTCCTACCTCCCCACCAGCAGCAAGCACAGACCCCTCTTGATTGAACGCCAAAGCTAACTGTTGTCCAACATCGTTTAACTCTTTAATCCCTTCCTCTGACTCTTCACCAGCCTGATTATCCTCTCTCGTGCTCATAATGTTTTCCCAATCAAACAGTCTGTGTATCAAGAGAACAGCAAGTAGTATCACATCCCTTGAAATTTCCGTCTACTCCAAACCATAAAACCACTACGACTTTGTATATAGAACTTCAAAGTAATATGCTTTGCAAATTTAAAACTCGATTCTAATTGCATAACACGACAATTCGAACCTAGTGAGCTTTAAAAAACGGATGAGATTACTCACTTGCAACTGTTTGGTAATGCGCAAACAAGACCACCTTCCCGAGGATGAACAGCCATCCTGTAAGGCAGATCACTGACCACAAGCCTACCCAGCTGAAAAACGATCGTAAGTCACGGATCTAAGAAAATCAAAATCCTTGCAAACGTATAGATCTACACATTTCACCAGATCAAGCTATGAATATTTTCCGGAATTCATAGGAAAAAAAAACCATTTGCACTACTTACAGGTTGTTCCGAGAGAGAATTGGTCTCGAGATCAACACGACAGACTAAGATCAAATTAGGGATTCCGTTTCGTCCATCTCCGCCGCCTCCGGACAAAACGATGCAGCTCCGAGACGAGGAAATCGAGGACGAAGACTCACCGCCATCTTCGGAGTTCTCCTGATCCTTGTCGATTTTCGATCGGACAGTTTCTTCCGGAATCCACTCGGCGGCGTAAATCGGAACGCCGTACGTAGCTGTATTCTGATTCGCCATTCTCCGTCCGTGTCCACCTCTCGAGCTCGATGCCAGAGTCTTCTCTGATTCGTAGAGACGCGTGAGTACAGGGAGAGACTTTAAATGGGCTAGGCCCATTTGTGGGCCCATTCATAGATACAAATTCTCCAAAAAATCGGTAAAACCCTACGAAACCTTGAACCGCGAGCCAAGCTAACCTTACTCTGAAAATTTTCCGAACAATCGGAGCGAAATGAAGCGTTTGATCCCAACTTTCAATCGCATTCTGGTGCAGAAAATTCTCCAATCGGCGAAAACCGAAACCGGTATTCTTCTCCCGGAGACATCCACAAAGGTAAAGTCTATTTTTGTTGTTGTATGATTTGATCTTCTGATTTTAGCCGGAGAATTAAGATCGGTGATCATTTTCCGGTGTGATTACAGCTAAACTCCGGTAAAGTTATAGCGGTTGGACCCGGTTCACGGGACAGAGACGGTAAATTATTACCGGTCTCGGTTAAAGAAGGCGATACCGTTCTTCTTCCCGAGTACGGTGGTACAGAGGTCAAACTCGGCGAGAAAGAGTACGTATACAGAATCCCTTCTTTTAAAATATTTTATTTTCTACCCAATACTATTGATTTGATCCAAAAAAACCCTTGATTCGTCAGAAACAACCCAAGATATATATGTAGATAAGAGTTATCAATTTTTTTTTGTGTTGGTGATGAATCCAAGTAAGTAACTTGTGTACGTATGATGGACGCAGGTATCATCTGTTCCGGGACGAAGACATCCTCGGTACATTGCACGAGTAATGAAAATGAAGCTAGTGGGTTTCTTGTTGGCGTTTGTGTTCTTGTGAAGAATAATTATTGAGTGTTTAAACTTGATTAACATGGTCGAATATTGGAAGTTTGAAAGTTTTGTTATTTATCATCATTGTCCTCCTTGAATTTGGCCTTTATAACTTGTCTTAATCTATTGTCTAATCAGTCTTGTGTGGCCATCAAGTAAAATGTGGAGGAGAAAAGGAGGATTTGTGCTCTTTTGTATTTAGTGCATATATTAGCGAAAGAAAACTCCACACACGGCCGATTCCAAAAATTGAATACATATGAAAACAAAATAGTATGATTTGGAACATCGTCGAATAGCTTGTTGCAACTTGCAAGTGTCACTAAGTCTCAATCAGGACATTTTTCCTTTTGAAAGATCTTCATTTCTCGATATTCTTGGACAAATTTCAACTTCTAATGATAACCACGAATAATGGAAGAGAGTTTTGAGGTAAATAATATGGGTCAATTGTTGAGGTTAATATTTTGACAGCTAAATGCTTGAGATCTTTAGAAAGTTTTTGTATCTAGAGAGCTGGAAATTTTATTCAAAGGATTTAAACATACACATCTTCGTTGGATCTATATACCTTAAACATGCGAGTCTGTGATTGAATTACGGACGTGGCGTGTCATATTACTCAATTTAAGATATCGTGAAATGATGAAAATACTAGAAAATGGCATATAGTATTTTTCTAAATTTGGAATCTTTTCATTTATCTTCTAAAAATAATTAATAGTCGCTGTTGCCAACCACTCTCTCTCTCTATCTCAGTTGCACATGCAACACAGCCATAGGCTAATTTCTAGTAAACTCACATTATTATTAACTCCGTGGTATTTTCAAAACAATGACAAATAGTATTTATTTCGTACTTTCAGATATTTCATTAGGTTTCTGGCCATTTAAAAAACTTTAGTATAGGTTAAGCTTCAACATGTTTAATATATTTATTTGTATGATTTTGTGGGGATTATGTCATCCACAAGTGGAGATCTAAATCCCTTTTTTTTTTGAACGGCGTGGAGATCTAAATCTAATAACTCAGAAGCCAATATTTGATTACTTCTACGATATTTATGTGGCTGCATTGTAGTATTAAGAAGCAATCATGCTTGTAAAATTATAATATTGTCATCAACATAATTACACCCTAATTCCTTACCAAAGCACGTGCCGGTTAGGGACGGAAGATTAGTTTAACAGGGACAGAGTATGGAATCAACATTGCTTGTCGTGTTGGCTTTGTCTTCTGTTTAGTTTTGAGTACTTAAATACTTTTACTATTGTGTCATCATACTATTGATGTTATACACTAATTATTACTCGTATTATATTCATGCATATGCTTTTCTTTTCCTGATATAGACAAATAAAATGTATAGTCGTCTAAAAAGTATATATATATGTATATTTATATATATATATATGTGTAAATATCTGAAATTTACATTTTTTCAACGATATATTATGTTGATAATTCCACACAAAAAGATACAAGGATATCGTTGACAAATTAAAAATAAATACAAGGATATCCTGCAGATAATTTTATATATATATATAATTTATAGGTAATTTTTATTTTCTTTTTGTTGAAAGAGATAATTCACCATTGTAGATAGACAACTGTAACGAGAAAATATGCTATCGATATACGGAAAAATACAGATTTTATTTTAATTCTATTTTCCATTCAAAACATGACAAAGAATAAATCTGTTGAGTTCTTGTTGGATGATTTCCATATCTTAGACGAATAATCAAAAAGTAGAATAAGGTCACAACATCCTAAAAACTGAATGATTTACTTGTAGTACCAAAAAAATGAATTTCTTTTTAGTATATATTAGAATAAGGAAATCTAGCTAAAAGCCTATTCATCTAGAATAATTAATATATACTCCAATCCCATTAAAGGAAAATGTTCATAATTTATTTATTTTTGGTCGTGGAAAATGGTCATAATTAGATTTTGAAATATAAGGGCAAAATAAAAAGAAAGCACAGAAAGAAAGCCAAAGGAAGAGAAGGAAAGGGTGCATGTGACTGATCACGCCTCCACCGCAAAAGAGAAAAAAAGGTCCACATACACTCTCTTCTCTCTCTCTCTTCCGGCGATTCACTTCAAATTTCGCAACCGTGCTCCGCCGCATCCACCGCCGTGGGAACAAATATCGCCGCATCTCTGCGTTTCACGACCTTCCGCCGCCGACGCCGATTGGACTTATTATGATGTAAGGTCGTTGAACGAAAGAGGAGGGAAAAATTAGGATTGAGATCTGTTGATTTTTGATTTTCAAATGCTTGCGAAGAATCGGCTGCCGGGAAGCGGCCACACTACTCCGTCTCCTCCGGCGTCTCCTCGCCGTTCTCCTCGTTACCGTCACGGCCGGTCAAAAGCCGCCGGTCGAATTCCTACCGTTCAGCCAAGTCGGACCCTTGCTCATCGCCTATCCTGGATCCTTTTATCGGTTCTTCTCCGGCGTCAGGGAATTTTCCTCTTCGCTCCTCTCATCTATATCTCCTGTATGCTTCTTTACATGGGCACCGTTTCGTTCGATGTTGTTCCCATCATCCAGCGTAAGCCTCCGCCAGGATCCGTCTACAAAAGCCCGCAGGTTTACGCTAAGCTCCGCCCTGAGATGGACGCCGATGATTCCACGGCTGATGCGGTGAGTTTTTAGCAGCTCCACATTGTGTACCTTAAGTTTCTGACGATTCCCTGGTTCTTCCTTTTGACTTTTGGATACCTCGTGGTATGTCTAGATTTTTGATTTGCACACCCTTTCTAATTGAATCCTTGGCAATTTCCCCTGAATCATTGGATGTTGAAGAGATTTCGGGTTTTTTGCCAGGTTGAGCTGTTGCTTCTTCGGCTAAATTAGTACGGTTAAGTGATTGATTGGTAGGTTTCGTGATGATATTTCTATAGGGGAATTCAAGGTGATGAATCTCGTTATCAATCTCGAGACTTGTAGGTTGAAAAGATACTGTGTTATCTAGTTTTAGCTCTATTAACATGTAAAAACTGTTCCTTCGTCGACTTCAGCACGTTGAGAGAAAGACTATTAGCTTCAGAAGTTTTCCTTTTGAGCTATAGGTTCGTGTTGGTTTTGTATCTTACCCTTGAAATTACTGTTAGATTGGGAGACTTTGGTGAACGAATTCCTCCTTATATCATGAATGCTACTTTGGTTATGTGGCTGTTTTGCAAGCATGTTATACGGTTTGAGTACTGCGTTGAGAGTCTAGCATGTTAGCCACAAACTTATACATGCTGTCCTGCTTTTTCATGTATCATCAATGCTTTTGTATTCATGTCAGATATCAACCATTTGGAAACATTCCTATAAAGCTGGGGAGTGGAAGCCGTACGTGAACAAGTCTAGTGGAGGTACTGCATTGCTTTTGTATTTCTTTTTAATTCTGCTTCTCGTTTAAAGCTGCAGCGTTTATGATTTTTTGTCAAAACGTTCTCACCTTGATTAAAAGCGACCCTGGATTTTAATGTGCTAAAGTAAATGTTTTGTTCATTCTGCAAAGTTCTGCTGGCAGCTCAGAATTAGCCTGTTCTCTGGATCATTGTTTGATTAATTAGGTATCGCTTTTTTTGTTTATTATTGTAGCCTTACCCGATTCAAACGGTTTCATATATGTCGAGGCAAATGGAGGCTTGAATCAGCAACGGACATCGGTAGGTTTGTTGATCTTTTCATGATCTATGAAATCTATGCATTTCGCGAAATCTTGTCTAGCAATGTTATTTATGTCAAAGCTGTTGACTTATCTCTCCCATGTTATGCTTAGATATGCAATGCGGTTGCTGTGGCAGGCTATCTAAATGCAACACTAGTAATTCCCAACTTCCATTATCACAGCATATGGAGAGATCCAAGGTTTTAGATTGTTTTCTTTTGAAAATCTTATCTTGAGGTTATTTGTTCAAGCAAAGCCATCTTTTGTAGATTGCGTTCTGACAAAAGGTTTTCTTTCAGTAAATTTGGAGACATCTACGACGAAGAGTTCTTTGTCAATACCTTAGCAAATGATGTCCGGGTGGTTGATACAATTCCTGAATATCTAATGGAACGTTTTGACTATAACATGACAAATGTTTACAACTTCAGAGTTAAAGCATGGTCACCTATTCAATATTACCGGGACTCCATCTTGCCGAAGCTACTTGAGGAGAAGTAAGTTACAACTTGTTATTTAGAAGATTTTTCTCACGTGCTAGAGTTGGTTACGCATTGTTCTTAACAGAATAGTAAACCACCTTTTTCTTAGCAGAAGAGATTTTTTGGGTCTGTTTAGCACTTGTCATTGAAGAATTGTTGTCTTTACATGGCACAGGGTTATACGAATATCCCCATTTGCGAACAGACTTTCGTTTGATGCGCCTCAACCTGTCCAGAGACTTAGATGTTTGGCGAATTACGAAGCCTTGAAGTTTTCGAAACCCATTCTAACCCTAGGGGAAACACTGGTGAAGAGAATGAAGGAGCAAAGTGCAAACCATGGAGCGAAGTACGTATCTGTACATCTGCGTTTTGAAGAGGTTTGTTCCATGTAAAGGAGAGGCATCTAGAGAATCCCCACTGGTCTTTATCATGGCTATAATTTTTGAATGCAGAGTTTGTGTCTGAGTTGATATATAATAAGCTATATATACATGTTGCAGGACATGGTGGCTTTCTCCTGTTGTGTATTTGATGGTGGTAACCAAGAAAAACAAGATATGGTTGCAGCAAGAGAACGAGGATGGAAAGGAAAGTTTACAAAACCAGGCCGCGTTATTCGACCTGGTGCTATTAGGCAAAATGGAAAATGCCCGTTAACTCCTTTAGAGGTACTCATCAATTCGTGTGATTCTGGACACTGCTCCTACTATTTACAATATATTAGCATTCTCGGATATCTTCATAAGTTAATCACCCGTATAATAGCTCCACAAACCCTTGTGAGCAATAGTGTGGCTTGTATTGTATGGTGAGCTATATTGTTACTTATTCAGTTTGGTTTATATATTTCTTGTAAACTCTTCAGGTGGGTTTAATGCTTAGAGGAATGGGATTCAACAAAAGCACATATATTTTCCTTGCGTCTGGTCAGATATATAATGCGAATAGAACTATGGCCCCGCTACTGGAGATGTTCCCGAACTTACAAACTAAGGAGATGCTTGCATCAGAGGAGGAACTTGCTCCGTATAAGGTCTGCTTCTCTCCCGCTGTTTGTTCCAGAATATATTTCTCTGTGATCAATTATTTTTCTGACATTGAACTCTGTGTTTAGAACTTCTCTTCCAGAATGGCTGCAATAGATTACACGGTCTGTCTCCACAGTGAGGTATTTGTGACCACACAAGGTGGAAACTTTCCTCATTTCCTCATGGGTCATCGGAGATATTTATACGGTGGACATTCCAAAACCATTAGACCGGACAAGCGAAAGTTAGCAATCCTCTTCGACAATCCCAACATAGGGTATTCACTTTTTGTACTCCTTCAAGCTCCACTTCTAACACCTCCAAATGAACAATATCTGCACTGTTCCATTTTTTCTTCACCATACCGTGTCGCTGTGTGATCCCTTTTTGCTGAAACGCTTTTTATCTGCAGATGGCGAAGTTTTAAACGTCAAATGCTAAACATGAGGTCTCATAGTGACTCGAAGGGGATTGAGCTAAAACGACCTAATGACTCCATTTACACATTCCCTTGCCCTGACTGCATGTCCCGTAGGAACAAAACAACAACCCCAGATTCCAGACCACCTCCTGCCACCTGAAAGCACACATATTTTATTGCCGGCCGACCAGAATGTAAAGGCCGTGTTCATTGCTTGTAATTCTAATTCTTTCGAATCAGAGTGGACTTGGCGACTCGGCCCGCGCAGAGTTTTAGGGAGACAGCGTTTGGAGGATGAAATCGTCTATTTATCTCCGGGAAGGGTCTGCCGAGGAGTAACAGCCACAACATTGTTTGATACTTTTGACACATTGAAGCTGATGCATATAACAGGAGAGAAAATTTGAGGTTTAGTTCAATCCCTGGCTGCTGCTGGGGCAAAGAATAGGACAGTGATTGGATCTTGTTTTTTTTTTGGGGTGTTTTACGGTTTGAAACGTTTGCGTTTTGTACATTTTGTAAACGCAGACGTCAGAGTCTTTGCGTTAGGAGATATGTAGAGACGAACAGGAGGGGAGAAGAAGCTGCCCAAAAAGTTTTGTACATTTGATTTGGTTAGAGAGTAGAGACCATCGTGTCTTTTATTTTTTTGGGTTTATTTAATTTAATTCTTTGAAATAGGGCTTTAATTGTTTTCACAATATTCTTATGATTCTTCAGAGGTGAATCTTATGTTTCATTCAGAAAATAATGTTCAATATTGATTTGATTCTTTATTTAGTTGCTCCTATCCTATGTGTCGTTCATATTTCATACTCTTTTAGATTTTTTCATTTTTTTTAATATTCTCACGAGTGCTAACTGATCTATGTTCCATATAGTTCCCAATTAATAGGTCCGTAAACAAACAAAAAAAGCAAAAAAAAAACAAAAACAATTTCACGTGCTATACTAGCGCGTCGAGTGTACGCCCCTGGATCTGAAAGATAAGTCCACGTGGAACTGGCAAATATCGCCAACACAAAGGTTTAGCAAACGAATGTTGCGCGTGGGCAAAGGTCTCAATAAGTATTGGAGTTTATCATATCTTTGTTCTCTTAATTTTTTTTTTGTCCTTTGTTTAGGCTTTTGGGTTATCAAAGTCAAAACAGAACAATCTTACTCCATAAATTGTTCGCACAAGGATTGTGGAAGTATACAAATCACGAATACTCTTCCCGGCGAAATCTTTACAGGAACCGCCACATCAATGGGAATCACCGGAAGTTTAACTCCAGATCAGCTCGAGTTTTTTCACTCTCAAGGTTTTGTTTGAAATTTCTTCCTAGCTCGAGTTTTTGGATTGATGAGCTAAGAAGCTGATAATGATAATTGTAATAATGAAAAAAGGGTATTTGGTAATCGAATCTTTCGCGAGTGAGGATGAGATTTGTGGCTTGAGGAAGAGGATGGACGAGTTGCTGAATCAATTTGATTGTTCCGTCTCCTCTATTTTCTCCACTAAAAATCAGGTTACTTTTTTTACCAAGTTTATGTTTTTTTTTTAATTCATATTCGTCTTATGTTACTAAATCTGATGGTTATTTGATATTATGCGTCTTCCGTAGAAGCATACGACCGATAATTACTTCTTTGAGAGCGCTGAAAAAATCTCCTTCTTCTTTGAAGGTATCCTATAATCTTTAAAGATCTTCTTCGATTACTTACTTAGTTTCTATTTTCTTCTTTGTTTTACATAATCAGAACGACCGCTTTGGTTATTTCCATAGTGTTCCTATGATGTTCTTGGCAATATTATGTTGCTGTATGTGTGTAAATGCTCTGTTTGTTGTGAGAAGTATGAAAATTTGTAACGAATATACTGTATTTGAGGTATCTTTGTTTTCCTAGCAATTTTACAGAATCTTAAAATACCAATACAATTCTATTTTCTTGTTTAATACAATAGAATATGAATATGAATCTTTATGAAAGTTATGGCAGTTCCTTTGTAGTGACTTAATTAGGATACTCTCTCTTTGTTTGTAAATTTATTACTCTCTATTGATCATTTAGTTGATATCTTCTTCTTCTTTTGCTATAATCTCGCTATTAGCTGGTATCGAATTCTGAAGCGTACTTGTGTTTGAATCTCAGAAAAAGCTTTTGGCGACGATGGGGAACTGAAGCAACCGAAAGAGCTTTCTATTAACAAAGTTGGGCATGGTATTTTTTCAACGTGTTTATATATTAATTGTTATTATCTTCTTTTACTATAAAGTTTTTAGTGTTTGGTTGACAAAAACATATCACAAAGGTTAATAATGTTGTATTGGTGCAGCACTGCATGAGCTTGACCCATTGTATAGGGAATTCACATATTCGTCCAAGGTTTCAAGTATGGTATCATCCTTAGGTTACAGGAGACCTGTCATCATGCAGTCCATGTACATTTTCAAGGTACTCTTATTTACTTCTGGACTTTTTGTTTGTATTATTTACGACTTAGATCAATGAATATGCAAATGTTCAACAGTTAAGAAGGCAGATCATCACGTATATCTATATGAACAACTTCAAAATTAGTGTTTTGCAGTTACGTTTAAACTTTCCACACCTATTACATCCCCTATCTCTAAGTAGTATTCTTGCCTCTTTGGAACAATATATCTGATTTGAGTTTTTCAACTGTGCATTTTTACTAGCAACCTGGAATCGGAGGCGAAGTTGTGCCGCACCAAGATAATTCTTTTGTGTACACGGATCCACCTAGTTGTACTGGTCTCTGGATGGCTTTAGAAGATTCTACAACTGTTAATGGTTGTCTTTGGGCAATTCCTGGTTCTCACAAGAGTGAGTTTATCACCTCTATTTCTAGTGTTCTTTGTCGTAGTTTGCTTAGCTAAACAGTTCTCTATTTTTTTTCCCCCACTGCTTCGTTTTAGATGGTCTGGTTAGAAGGTTTGTCCGAGGTGAAAATGGTGTAACTTATGATCGGCCATCACCGTCATACGAGCAGAAAGATTTTGTGCCGATTGAAATGAAAGCAGGCTCAATGATAGCCATTCATGGTGATCTAATCCATCAAAGGTAATTTTCATCTTCTGTATAAAGGAGCTTGCTTAATAGTTTAGATTTGGCTGAGCTCTGAAAAATTCAATGTTCCCTACTGTTTTCTCAATGTGGATTTTGGGATGCAGTTTCGAGAATCTATCACCGAATTCAAGACATGCCTATAGCTTACATGTAGTAGAATCTGATGGATGTAAATGGGCAGAAGACAACTGGTAAGTCTTTATTTAACTTCTATTCCATCTATTTTTTTCTATAATCATATCGATGAAAAGCCTTCTACGACTTTGTTCAGTGAGTCTGTTCTTCATGCTTTTACATTTCTCTTATATGCTAGGATTAAAAGAGAAAAAATGCCTGAGCCTCTCTATGTTCCTTGATTCAAGCCAGTCGCCTGGAGACACTGTGAGTTGCTGTTTATCAGATTTCTTCTACGATGATAAACCTACGCACGACCTTTAGAGGGAACTCGGAACAGTAATAAGAATATGGCTAAAAAAAGGGCCTTCTTGTGTCATTTGCTTGTTGAAATACAATTTGTTTCTGTTTGGTCTCTGTAGTTCTGTCTTCAGATAACCAAACTTAGTGGTCAATAAAGTGTGACAAGTGATTACTTGATGTTTCTGTTATTATAGTTTTGACTTTCTTCAATATCTAATGACAGTAACTAGATATTGAAGTAAGTCATAAGAAGAAGTTAGGACCCTTAAACAGTTAGAGGTTGAAGAAAGATTGAGGAATAAGTGACCATGAGATATAGCTCTTTTTTTAAAAAAAAAATGTGAAGCTGTTTGAAATGTTAAAAAGTGACTTGAGGAATGGGACAAAACTATCTCTGTCCTATTGTAATTGTACTAGGAAAAAAAAAACGTTGGACAGATCTTTTAGGTGCAGAAACAATAGAGTCAATTAAAGAGTTATGGTCGAAGTGATAAATGCTTTGTGTAGTTGTCTCTAGGAAGTGATCTTCATCTTCTGTCTGAAAAGGCAGTTTTTTTATTTCATACCCTAGGACAAAAGATGGGTCAATGTTCTGTTTCTGTAGATTTTTTATCTCAGGCTTTTACATAGGAAGAAGGGACTATAGACATATAATTAACACCTTATGCTTCAGGTAATTAAGACCATAGCACATATGTATCTATGGTGAATGGAGTGAATTGCCAATCCTCTGTTTCTTTATTAAATTCATAAAACAAATGAGAAATGGGCAAACATTAAAGATGGTTTGTCTTCATTACATCAAAAAAGTCAAATGTCAGGTTCCAATTTTTGTTATTTCCTGAAATCTCCACTGCGACGCACTTTTTCTGATAATAAACCGCACATATGCTAAATTCACTGAAAATCCTAAAGTGATTCTAAACATAGTGCTATGTCAGCATCGAAAGTCTCTCTCACACAGTCACATATAAACGATGCAGAGGAAGAAGAAGAATCAGAAGAAACCATGTGAAGAAGTAAATATGAGATGTATATTCCTTACATTGACAATGGACCATTGAGAGCTTTCACTTTCAGACATATATATATATAGTTCGAGCTCCAAACCCAACCCCCAACATGGTCCAACTTCACATTTGGGTAGTAATAATAAATAACAATAAATTTCAAAAACCCTAAAATTCTTGGAAAGAAACCTTCAAATTTCAACCCCTCCTAACATTTACTACGCGTCTTCGTCTTACAAGTTTCATCCTATTCTCTTTTTATCTCTCCCTCTACTCTCTCTAACTACACATCACTTACCTATTTTTCGACAAACAACAAATAAAAATTTATTACTCACACATGGGTTTTGGTTTTACCTATGAGGCATGAACTCATAGTAGCAACAAAAGTTGCAATACACTTGGTTTGCTTTTCTTTCTTTCTTCTCTGTAAACCGATCGGTTATCTCTTGGTTCTCCATAACCGGGAAGAGATTTAAAGTTGTGATCTCCCTCGTTTCTTCTTCTACTTCTCCGTTGACATTTTCGTCGATATTAATCTCTCGTGGTTTTTGAGTTACCGACGAAGTAACAAGATTTCTCCACATGGTGTCTTTACCATCCTCCGATGCCCTTTCAGAGTCTCTTGTCGTCCCATGCTCTTCATTGTTGGCTTTATTGCAATTCGCCGGTGCTAATTCATCCTGAGAAGGAAAAACAAAATTATTAATTGGTTTTTTTTTGTCTCTCGGTATTAATCTGATTACTAGATTTTTTTTTTGGGAAAAACATACAGTATAAATATTTTAAATTTAAACAGTAAAAGATATTAATAGATATCATTGAGATGAATTTTTTTTTAAAAAGGATGAAAAGGGTTATATAGCAGCCTTGAGTAATGTATAGAACATTTTGAACATCAAAGAACATCAATGTATAAACATAAAACCAAAAAAAAAAGGCCTGGAGTAGACCTTTTTTCTCCTTATTGTTCTCAACATATCATCAGAAAAGCTTCTCTAACCGTTTTAGGCATCCCTAACTTGTCTTCTCCAATTTCCACACATTGACACATGCATGTAATAGTGTTCTTTGTATATCTTTGTATATGTGTATACGTATATATACATCAAAGAAAATATATAACCTGTGGTTGTGGGTTTGTGTGTGGAAAAGATGGGCAGCTCTTTGTATGATCAACTCGAGAACCACCTGTGATTGCCACTCATATGTTAAATTTTTTCATTAAATTTTATTATAATACAAACAAAAATCTCTATATACCCCCTTAACAGCAAAAGTCAAAGTTTATATTTGAAGATCAAATATTGTTTGTTGATATTGAGAATAGGACTAAATATATATAATTAATCTCTCGCTTTTATGAATATATATAATGTATATACAATCAACTAATTAATTACCTGATGATGAATCCTTGACGTGATGATGAGGTTCTCTAACGTTGTTAATATCATCATCTCCTTCACAACGGCGTCTTTTCAGTCTTTCTCTAGCCTTGTGATTCTGAAACCAGTAGAAAACGTTTTTGCCCTCGATTCTGCCATATTTACGGAGCTTAGATGCTATCTTTTGGATCTGTTCCGTAGTCGGCGTCCGTGTTCCGCTTCTGTAAACCTCTTCCAACGTCGTGATCTGCTCCGGCGTCGGATTCCATCTCGACGTCGCCGCCGTCGGCAAGTTATTTTTCCGATCATCACCAATTTCTCCCGATGATGATCCGGTGATGATCTGATGATGATCGTTGCCAGTAATATCGCCTGAAAAAACAAATGTATTTATAACCATAAAGACCATGTCTAAGGAAACTTCTTGGTTATCAAGAAAAAAAAAAGAACATATGTTTTTTTTTCGACAAAAAGACCATATGTAATTATGTATACACATTGATTGATATATGAAAAAAGGTAAGTGTTACATTGTGTTAGAAGAAGATGAGGTTGAGTAGTAGGAAGGGGCAAAAAGTTGATGAGATTTTTGTTGGAGATGTAGCCCATGCTCTGAAGAAACTAAAAATTTGCCCTAAATCACTTTTGTTTTGGGGAAGATCGTTATTAAAAGAGACAATATTTATGAAAAAGGTCTTTATGTTGTTGTTTACTGTAAAATTCTGACCCTTTTGCTAGGGAAATGGGATTTAAGAGAGTAATGCTTGTGTTTCAGTGCTGTGTGGGAATGAATGATGAGAGTTTTACTTGTGATGCAAGAGAGATCAAAAGGCTACAAGAGATTGATTTTTGGGTCTATCATACTTTGCCTTTTGTCCTGTTTTATAGATAAACCAAAATCTTTATATATAGAGAGAGAGTGTGACAAAAGAATATACACACTTTTATATATTAAATTTTGCTTATCGGTTTGACCAAAAAAAAAAATTGCTTATCGAATTATAAATAGAACTTGTCTATATATTACTCCAATCTGCAAAAGCAGAAGAAACGGAGTAAACATGATTCAACAAAATTAAATACGGCGCTGAAAGTTATATAATTACACCGAAATTTATAAGTTAAGAAGAGATTAAAATTGGTCACTGAATATTCAATTTTTTTTTATTTTTTAAAAGTGTTTTGCATCTCTTATCAACTCTCACAACCTGAGAGCGGTTAATATATCCCACGCGCAGTCCTTACACGTGATTCGCGTTTTAGCCATTTTTAGAAATATCCACAATTGAGCCCAATAGACGCGCGTAGGTCGAGCTTCCCCATCTTAAATGGGCTTTCAAATTGGACTAAACCTACCTATTAGCCCAATTACTCTTTTTCAGTCCATATATCTACACTCCACTTGTTTTATAAAACTGAAAAAATATCACACTATAAAAAATAAAACTGAAAAAGCTGAATTTCCAGAAACGTCAATAAATCAAAATAATTTTTCAAGTTTGTTAGGAAAATATACGGAAAGTGAAATTCAAAATATGGAGATGGCATGGAGTGGTTGAATAATCACTATAGCTCCTTAAATCTCTCCATTTATGGCTCTCACTGTGCAAAACATTCATTCCACATGCAACAACCTCTCTCTGAGGAAATTCCTTTTCAACCAAATGGACCTAAAAATAAGATATTTTATTTGTATACAAAATTAGTTATTAAGGCAAACAAAATTTGCATTTTTCTTCAGAATGCAAAATTGATTTGGTTCTTATTTCAAATCAATGTTCTGTTTATTCTAAGAAAAATAGTCGAAGATCAAAGTTTTTACTTCTTTGTCAACAATTTATTCTTTCTGGCCTCAGCCATTCGTGATTTAAATTGGTTGTTTTGGGAAATTCTGTATTTAAAGCCTACCTTAACGAAATAGAAATCATTAATCCGTGAGTGAATTAGTAAAACTAGTATTCATTTAAGCATTGAAGATGTTTGTACCTACACGTATATAAATACACATATATATATATATATATATAGATTCTCAAAAAGTGAGGAAAATATAGAGAGGTCCTTGGAGACAGGCATCCTTTTCGAGAGAACCGTATGCATTAAGTTCAAACACATATACAAATGAAATAAAAATCATAAAAGCTAAAGCTAAACTATCAATGGCCTACAATAATCAATAATATTTTCTCCCACGTCACAAGTTTAGAGAAAAAAAAAAACAGAAAATTGATTACAAAACTTTGATTTAATCAAAATGAGTAAATATTATTATGAGAGTTTGAGTGAATGTCGTCCATTATGATTTAACATAAATCTACCTAAGTTATTCTCTTTTTTTCCACATATGTAACAACGTACTATGTTACCAGGACTGAAAGAGTTTGTCTAAATCGGTTTGTGATATTCAGATTGGGATACAAATTACAAAAATAATCATGAAAGAGTTACTTTTAAATCGGCTACTGTATTGTTAGGATATTTTTTTTATAAAATAAAAATTATGGTTAGAAATTGAATTTACACCCATGGCCGTTTAAAAATGAAAGACTGTATATTTTACATCCACACATATCTAATACTTAATGCACCACCTAAAAATATGTATTTTTCAGCTTGAGCCTACCACATTCTCAATTTTGAAAACAGTACATAGGAAAAATCCTAAAACAATGGGCTCGTCTCTTATAATTGAATAGTTATTATTATGCATGAGTTTCACCAAATCTCAAGTCTTTGGTTCTCCTTCTTTCAGAAGCGAAAGAGCAGTCAACAGCTTCTGTGTTCATAAAATATAAACTAAACATTTACTAATAATATACCCACCATTTCGAGTCTTTGGACCCATTCAACATCGAGTTATATAAAAAACAAATGGCATTAATTAATCACTCATCACAAAAAGACAACCTTCTTTTTCTGCACAGAACATGATCTTCGAAGAAATCCATGCATTCGAATCTTCAACAATTGTTAAAAAATAATAAACAAACTGTTTTCTTTCTTAGGATATGGATTTTCTATAACACACTGATTTAATCAAATAAATACAAAACTATTTTCAATAATTCTTGGATTTCGAAGGTCGATGGTCGCCAATGAAGCAAAAAAAAGTTACAGCAAAGAGAAACAAGATCATTAACTCTTAGCCTAGGAGAAAAGAAGGCTAACAATAATGATCTATATCTCGTAGTGAAAGAAAACCATAAAACATAAACTCATAAAAAACTACCAAAGTAGAGAAATTTGAAGCAGAGATTGAAGGATCTAAAGGCAAATTAAGCTCGAACGAGAGATCACACACACGTGTTACTAATTAGTTATTCAGTTGTGAAGAGGATTTGGACCTGTGTGAACTAATCTCTTGTCGTCTTTGTAAACATCATCTGTGTTTTGTTCTTCTCGACGTGGACCGAACGACACCGAGTCTCTGGGGGATTGAAATGAGGTCGTTTCATGGAAAGGACCAACCTTTCTCGGCATATGGTAGGATTGATAATACTGATCAGGAGAAAGAGCTGATGAAGACAAACCAAACTGAGCAAAGATTAAGATTCCCCACAAGAAGACGTTGGATGCTTGTCTTCTTCTTCTTCTTCTTCTTCTTCTTCTTCTTATTCCTCTGTCTTGCTCTTCTTCTACACAAGCTTCCATGGCAGTTTGATTTGAGTGAAAAAGAGAAGGTTTTTATGGGCTTTTCTAGAAGCACACGAGGTAGTGAAAACAGAGTATCTGAGGATGTCTCTCTCTCTCTCTGTTTTCTTTCAAAAGAATTTTCTTTCCTTTTTGTCGGTGTTTGGTAGTGCAGAGCAGGTTTGGATTTAAGAAACAGATGAGAAAAATGGGTTTTGACTAATTAGAATAATAGTTCTTGAAAAGAAAAATGATAACTTTGAGTAGTAGGAGAGGATTAACCCAAAAGACAAAACTCTTTTCTTTGTTTGAGTGAAGTCTAAGTAACAAAAAAGTTTGTCCGGTCTCCTTTGGATTAATGAGAAAGAAGAAGAAGTAGAAGGAGGAGAAAGATGAAACCTTTTTTTTTTTGGTATGGAAATGGAATTAGCTTTCTGGGTTCTTTATTATAAATTTTTAATTTTCCTTATCTTATGGGTCTTATCAAACGATCTTGACCCTTGATTCCTGGGAGAACCTTCTCATATTTGTACTACTCATCAGATCTTTAAACATTGATATTTTTCTTTCTCATGTTTCTCTCTGCTTACGTATTTAAATTTTAATGAAATTGCAATTAACATATTAATTTCTGCCATTTTGCTTGGAGATGGTGCAGAGGACAGTTCAGTATTAATAGCCGTTGTCCCCGGGAAAAAAAAAATCGAATTTATGTTTTCTGAGAGGAGAAAGAGAGAAGGGTACTGAGTGTAAAAACCAAATTGATGTAATGTACAAAGTGTTTTTACTAATTAAAGCAAGTAGCTTTTAGTGGAGGTATTACCTTAGTTTTGCTAAATTGAAGAAAAAAAAACCGTTGTTGTAGAGATTTTTTGGCTTGAAGACAAGTGATAACCTATATGTTCTCTGTTTTGTCGCCATCTCTCTGTTTCATTCATGTCTTCTTGTTCTGTCTTTCACCAGAGCTTTTTCTATTTCTTGCTTCTTTCATGTCCATGCTTTTTCAACTCTCAGAGAAACCCATAAACAGAGGCAAACTCAGTTTTTGATCACTGTCAATAGCATTAGCATCTAATGACTGACATAAACATTAAATTCCAGTTTCACAAATTTGACCCTTCTTTAACTCCTGAAAAAATATGTTGAGTAGTTGAATTTTAGCTATTTATATACTTTATCAGAGATACAATACAAGACCTGTAAAATCAATGGCATTTCTTAAGAAAGATACAAAACCCATTAATTGGCAAAAACACGAGGCAGGCAAAGATCTACGTAGTTAATGATCAATTACAAATCAAATACGCAATAATAAGTATAATGTACAAATTGACGTAGCTTGTGTCTACCTTATTCAGTAGTCTCTCGGTTTCAGGCATCTGACTTCTTTGAATGAAACATAAGCTTCACGATTTGCTGCCAAATGCAAGTTTTGTGGAGCAACAATTTGGTATTGCGTCAACTTGAGATGCATTCAAAATCCTTGGAAGCATTTATCATTAGATCTCTCTTAACAACCAGAACATTAATAAGTGTAGTCACCAGAATTCTCTGCAAGAGCAAGCACCATTTCTGAAGTGGTGAAACCTGTTCTTGTCTCTCATGATGATGTCTCTTGAAGTAAGCCTGGAAACAAACTTTGCGAAAACGTGGCAATCATCACAGGTTCTGAGATTCTTCATAACCCGTATAGGATGCTCCGGTCTCCCATTGATGAGTGCAAATGCAATAGCGAGCTTCTCACTGTGATGACTGAGAGAAGATTCTTTTTCCTCTGTTTCCACATCATGAAACACCGAACCTGTGTGGGGAACATACCCCATGTTCCTTATCTTCTTCAAGATTTCCTCCAATTTCTCATATATCGCCTTTGATTGTACATGTGATTGGTCTCCTCTATTAAAAACATGGATCTTGCCGTCAAATTCAACGGAACTATAAGCAGTAACCTTTTTAGTGCCGAGCTTCCTCATTTTACTTCTTACTTTGTCAACACAATCCCATTTACCAGCAGCTGCATATATATTAGACAGTAGTACTTGGTATGCACCAATGTCAGGAGCTGTTTCTACAAGTAAGTCTGCTACTTTCTGGCCCAATTTCATATCACAATGAACCGCACAAGCACCTAACAAGGCTCCCCAGATACCGGCATCAGGTTCCAGTGGCATCTTTTTGATAAATTCATAAGCCTCCTCTAGAAGACCAGAGCGTCCTAGTAGATCAACCATACATGCATAGTGCTCTTTTCTCGGCTGAAGATTCTTATCATTCGATCGAACCATGAGATTAAAATACCTTTTTCCTTCATTCACTAGTCCAGCATGGCTGCAAGCAGATAGGACCCCAAGAAATGTCACGTAGTTTGGTCTTAGTCCCTCATTCTGCATCATAGTGAACAATGCCAAGGCTTCTTCGCTATCTCCATTCATTGCATATCCTACAATCATCGTGCTCCACGAAACTATATTTCTTTGTCTCATTTCGTCGAACAATACCCTCGCAGCTTCGGTGCTACCACACTTTAAGTACATATCGAGCTTTGCATTTTCGACTATAATGTTACAATCAATATCTTCTTTCCTAGCGCGATCATAAATCTGTTTTCCAATCTCCAAAGAGCCTAGCTGACCACAAGCAGAAAGCACACTCACGACTGTAAAAGAATCAAACTGAACAGCATCCTCACACATTTTGTGGTAATACTCAAGAGCTATAGCCGAGTTTCCCGTTTGAACGCAAGCTGCAATAAACGCATTCCAAGCCACTAAATCTTTGCCTTGCATAGACTCGAACAAGAACTCAGCCGAGCTCAATTCACCAAACTTCATGTACATCATCACCAACTCAGTTGCAACGATCCCAAGAGTCTCAAAACCATATTTCAACACATGGGCATGAAAGGCAAAGCCACAGGGCAAAACCCCCAGCTGGGAGATCGCCTTCACCACAAACGGGTAAGTAAATTCATCAGGACGAACATCAAGATCACGCATATTTTTATAAAGCATGACACTTTCAAGAGGGAGCTGGTTTTTAACGTACCCTTTGAAAAGAGTGTTCCAAAGAAAAATCCTCGGCTTGTGCATTTCGTCGAACATTTGGCGGGCGTAACACATGTCTCCTACAAGTATAAGTTTCTCTAACAACTGGGTTAAGAGGCTGTTCTTCACAGATAAACCGGACGTTAGTACAAGCGCATGGATCTTCTTAAACTGCTTCGGCTTTGAAGAGCTTGCTCGTAATAGCTTGGAGAGCATTTGTTTTGTTAATGGCGTTTGTTTCGCAAGCATCTCTTCGTTTTCTTTTTTTTTTTGGTTTTTTTGTTACCGTCATCGTTATTTCAACGATCTGAAAATGTGACTATATTTTTATAAAGCCCAGTTACTACAAGAAAAGGCCCAATACTCAGAAACTTCATAGCAATTTCAATACGTATGGGCCGAAAGATCCCAGGACACAAACGTCAACACCACGAAGTGCCAGATTTTCATGGACTACATAAGACCTTCCACAGCCCTGAAATTCATGATGGGGTTCATCAGCATTTTTTAATAATTTTTGGAGGAGATAGAATGTGGAAGAACCTTGGGTGAACTTGAGGTGAAAAATGAGTTTCCAACCCTGATACTAATTTTTTTTTTAACTATTTTAAACATTTGAATAAAATAAAATGAAAAGAGTTCTTAAATTGAGAAAACAAAAGTGAAAGTAAAACTAGTAATCTTCTAGATGTCCAAATTTATGCCAAAAGTAGAGGGTATTTTTTTCTAAGCCGTAGCGTGCTCTAGAGTACATTCTCGTGCTTTTTCATCGAAACCCGCCTTGTCTTCTTTGTATAGCTTCGCTTTGGCTTCATCAAAGTAGTCCCCCTGAACCGTTTAAAGCATCATACCTTTGGTGGGTTGAACAGATATTCCGGAGGGAAGTCCATGCTGATTTTGAAGACTCCGTTCTCGTAAGGCGATCCTGCTGGTCCGAACAGCTCACCCTCCCAATAAAACATCTTTCCATCTATGGGGCCTGCCTTGTAGAGCGGGCTCTTAACCCTCTCAATCTCTTTTTTCTGTTTCGTTATGGCTCTCGCTCAGTACGGGACATCCTCTAAACTTGGCATACTCTGTCCACAATAAACGATTTGATCATTTGAGTTACATAAATATCCGAACCAAATGAGAAAAACAAAACTTGAAAACAAACCTAAACTCAAGTAACTACTTAAACCTAATCATTCGATATAACCAGAACACGATTACAATACGATGTCCCTAAAGATTCGATACTCCTAAACACACAATGAACCATTTCAACCTAAACATTCGATATGACCTAAACATTCAATACTTGAAAACACACAATGAACCATTTCAACCTAAACATTCGATATGACCTAAACATTCAATACTTGAAAACACACGATGAACCATTTCAACTCACACAAGCGATTCACACAAGCGATCAACAAATCGATTAACTCACACAAGCGATTAAATCACCCAAGCGATTTACTCACACAAGCAATTAACTCACACAAGCGAACCAAAATTTATAAAAGCCCCAAGCGAATTAGACGCCAATTGTAATCCCAAATAAAAGCCCCAAAATTTATAAACAATTTTGAAAACCCTAATTTCAAAACATCAAATTTTAAACCCTAATACGCGAAATCCGGAAACCGATTGAATATAAGAACAATGAATCGTAAACAACTCATAATCAACACCAAAAGCCCCCAAAAAAAACTTCCCGAAGAACCCTAATTTTCTCCCAATTTTGAAAACCCTAATATCGATTCAACCAACCGACCAAAACTCAATCAAAAGACTTCCAAATGATATAAACGACGTACCATACTGATCGACCGAAGGGGAAGCGACGATTCACCGGAGATTCGATCGGAGGGGAAGATTGGATTTGAAGTCGCGATTTTCGCAAAATCGCCGTGGAAGTTTTTTTTTGATAAAAAAGAGAATGCGAAATAACCCCAAATGTTCGATCCCGACCCTAAAAAATTTTCCCCAAACTTCAGCCAATCAGTACTTGCCACGTAGGCCGGTGAACCTCGACGATACGGGCGCGTCGGGCTTATCCCAAAAAGACAGTATCATCGAGTTTTTGGGCCTAATCGATTAAAAAAAATTAAAATAATGGTATTGGACTCCACGGATGAATCCCGCCCATCCCGCATTGTGGATGGTCTAACAAGTATGAGAAGTCAGCAGAGTTTTGACAGTTCCGTTTTACAAAAGTTTCATTCTGCCATTTTCGACTTATAAATAAACATATATGTAAGGTTTTATTATAAGTACATTAAATAATCTTCTTCTTTTTTAATTCTCAGATCATGCTTT